ATATATATTTTTTATATATTATATATTATAAAATTTAACTCCAAATTGCGATAATAACGTCTAATTGCAACGTGCGTGCGCGTGTACGTGTTGCGCCTTATTGTACGCGTGTATGTGTGTGTGTGTGTGTGTGTTATGTATCTGTGTATATGTGTGTTCGCATATGTATATGCTTCTGTGAATGTGTACGTGTGTATTCGTGTTGCTCTCGAGTAAAGGGGATAGAGATGTGAGCGAAGAAGGGTCGTAGATGGTATGCATCTTGCATTCGCGCGTAACGTGACTGTGTACGTGTTTGATCTACAATTAAACGAATCCTACGCACTTACTCATTAATCGGCAGAATAATATGCATTTCTCTTAATTTTTCGCTATTAGTATATGCAACCGTCCGAAAGCGTGTCAGTCGGCGCACCGTGACGGATTTGCCGTCGCTCTCGTCGATCCTTTCTCGATTGCGTTTGGTTCTTTCGGATGCATATTGAGACTTTTGTCAGCATGTTGTTTACGTAAACGAGCTCATTCTAATCTCGTTAATAGAAATAATTAACCTTGTCTACTAATTAATTTCGACAATAGTAACGAGATTAATCAGAACGTTTACGTTTTAAAAACGCGATTTTAAAAAATATATATTTATCAAATATTTCAATACTTGATTAAAAAAATGAATTTATATTCTTGTTTTTAAGGGGAAGTTTTATCATTAATTCATTAAATGTCTAAAAAAGATGTAAAATAAAGATAAAAATAAAATTGTTTTTTTATAATGTCTGGATGGTTTCATCTTCAATAAAAAATTAAAAAAAAACAGGCTTAGTATTTTTTTATACAATAATTTTTAATCAATATTATTAATATGATTTTATTTAGCAATTATGTGTGCGCGCGCACTTGTATGTGTGTGGAAGCAACAAAAATGTAAATATATATACATATTGAGTTGGAGAGTGAATAAAAATTTATAATAAAATTTAGAATATAAAATTGGCTTAGAATATGCATCCGAAAGTTATTTCTTACTCGACTACTTATCGTACAATTAGGATTGCGCAAATCTGATTTTATTTTATCTTAAGACTATTTTAAAATATTTTATTTTTTGTAACAAATAGATATTCTCGAAGAGAATAAAAAACAATTATGCTCACTCGTATTAGTTCAAAGTTTTATGATAATTTCAAATCTTAGTATGATAATTATCAGTCAGTTAAAAGCTAAAACAATTTATTCATTCATTCTTTGCTGCTCTAGCAATAATTTTAATAAATTTAACAACTTTTTAGGCAATTAAAAAATACAAGGAGTAGGCAAATATAACAAAAATTTTTTAAATTGAAGTGTTCAAGTGATTGAAACATATGTAAAAGACCCAATTCGAGAATTTAAGGATTAAAATGGTCTAGAAATTTTAAAAAATATAAAAAAGAAAAGATTAAGCAAAATCTGTGTGTGATAAAATTGAGATATACGTTTTAAGCATTAAAAAGTTAAATCTTAAAAATTGGCATTCTCTACTTGTTGTAAAGTTTAAAATATATCAATGAAATATCGATGTTCTATTAAGTTATTGTATGGATGAGCAATTCTAATATCATATTATCATATTAAATATTATCAGATGCTTGTATGTAAAATTTGTTTAACATGAACAAATTATCAAAAATCCATTTAACGATTATGAAATCACTGTATATAAATTGTTATTTAAGTTGTCATTTAAGACTGAATAATTGTCTCGATGCGAGGAATTAATACTCATGTTATCTAATATCGGAAAAATAAAAATATATAAATACGCATTAAAAATCGAACTCTCTCTCTCTCTCTCTCTCTCTCTCTCTATATATATATATATATATATATATATACACACACATACACATGCATATATATATAAGACTAATAACAATACACTCTTAACACTTTCGCGACCACTAATTTGTAACTGTGAATTAATATAACTTTGATATCCACATATTCAACTTATTAAAATTCGCAATTGTATTTAATGTAAAATTATGTTCCCTACTCAATATAAATATACAAATTAAATGTTCGCATATAAAAAATTTTTATAATTTCAAGCAATTAAGCTTTTTAGCATTATTTCGTGTTTCTAGCTTTCGAAAAGAGTACGATAATGAGTAAAATAAATAATATTTCTGTTGGAGACCCTAAACAGTATAAATTATTTTACTTACGTAATATAAAGGGGCCGACATACAAAGGAGATGTTGCATAAATAGTAATTTATGCATAATTATACATCTATATAAAAATAAAACATATCCGAAATATTTACGTGTGGAAATTAGATTTTATTCATTTATATTAAACTTTATAAATACAAATAATAATAATAATAATAGAGCGTTATAAAATTTCTATAACGTCTGGTAATTAAAAACGGTCTGTCAGACCCCGCTTATACCGTTTAGGGTTTACATAAGTAGCTGCAATATTTATATAGTTTATTTTAAAGAAATTCATTATAGAATAAAACAACTAGTATTCGCACGTCGTCGCTATAAGTAACTTTCAAATTTTTAAAAATATTGTAATCCCATACATATATTATTCTCTAAATCGACATTACCATCCATACATCTTTTTTAATATTGCATTACAGCGAGAGTTAAAGATGCTTATAATAAAAGTACAATGTAGCACGTACAAATATTTTTATTATTTCAGCCTGCTCCTTAACGACGTAATGTTATTTTTAGCAAAAAAGTAATGGCGTACGAATACCTTTTTTTATTCCAGCTCTTGCCACTTAGCAACATAATTTTATACTTAGCAACAACACGAAGGCGTACGAATACTTCTTAATCGGTCCGGCACCAAACGACCAGTAATTTCCATTGAAAAATATGCGAGCGGTCGCGAAAGTGTCGACGAACAACGGTGAGCCGTTTTTAATAAATCCATCTCGATCTCCATCTTGATCTTCGATCAACGATCGACGACAGCGAGGAAAGCCGGTGACGGTGCGTATATGTATATATGTAAACGCCTCGTGAGGGTATCTCAGCGCGCGACAACGGGCTATTGTGTCATTTTTTTTTTCATCTTTTTTTTTATCCATAAGAAGTACGGGTTTACGTATAAAGAGACGCGTCATACAAGTGCCGTATAGTACCAAAAATGTTTTTAATGCGCGCGCATAATGCAGTCGGTTAGCTCTATCTACGCCTGCATCCGTGAAAGTCGCATCCGCGCATATCGATTCGTATAACGTTTTTCTCTCTCGCTCTCACTTTCATTCTCTCTCTCTCTCTCTCTCTCTTTCTTTCTTTCTTTCACTCCCTTTCTTTTTTTCCTGTCTGTCTGTGTACATAAGTGTATATAAGTATGTATGGATGTATATGTATGGATTCGTGAGCGTGTTACGTGTCACCGTTATCCGTGAGATCTGGCCGGGTTGGTCCGCGAACGAAATCATTCTCTCCGTAACGCCCATCTATTCTCATCATTCGTACGAGGATCGTCGAATCTCGGTTGTTCCGCACCGAAATATACTCTCATATATATATATTTATATATATAGTGTTTATATATAATTATTTATTTATATATTCATATATTTATTTATTTATTTATATGTGTATTTATGCTATAAAGTAGCTCAGAACTATACTCGAATCACTACTCGAACTCGCGGCGGCGATAGAACGCGTAACCGCAGCCGATGTTTTGCGTTTAAGCCAATTGCACGTAGAAAGAAACGTTTATTCGCCGAATATTCTTACTAAGTTGAAAGAAATTTCGCCTATCGAATGGATAATACAATACATTATTATATTAATACGATAATCTGATTAAAAAGGGCAAACTCCGTCGTATCTTTGAAATAGAAGATGCTGTAATACGTACTCGCTACATGTATCCTTGCTTAATCAACATTTGAACATTTAGCGAACAAACCGATCCTTTACAAGCTGCGTGAGAAGAAAAAGAATCTCCAATTGTTTCACAGTTCGTATGTACATGTCGATTCACAACAACGACGATCGATGTATCAACATACTCTTCAATTTCTGTTATTATCTTATTTCAATTTCCAGCCCCTAACTGGCTTTATTATACTTTTATTCTTTCCTTTTTAATCTGTTCCTAAGTATTTCTCTCTCTTTTTTTTTTTTACTTATATAACAATCTTCATTAAACTTCTTAATATCCTAGCATTTGTCTACCCCGTATTATCATCACATATCTTTATCACTAATAATTACGTCATTAACGATCGATATACAGGTGCGGTAATTAACAGGAGCAAGGCAAAATGGAAAGATGAATCGAGTGAATGTTCGCGGAGAAAACTCTAATGGGGATGGAGACATCCCCGTCGTCGTCATTATCGTGTTTAATTATACACCTAACTCCGGCGCGGTTTCACGGTTCCTCGTCCTCTGCAATATAAGCTCTACCCGTCGTCGATGCTATTCGCTGAGTTCGCCCGTCCGTCGTATTCTCATGTTCGACGGTGCAATAATATCGGTCTCTCTATGTCGCACGCGAGCGGCCCAACCGAGATTCACTTCCCATGAAGCATCATCAGTCCTCGATTATATTGTAGTATTATCGCGTCATCCTCGGATCGTCCCGGCGAGACTCGGTTAATCACCGTTCTCCTCTCCCCCCCCCCCTTCTCCATCCACTACTATTTCTTTTAGTTAATACAATATATACTTTATGTATGTATCGTAACAACCGATATCTCTCGCCAATCAGCACTCACACACTCGCGCTCATCGTTTTTCGCTCACACACGCACATTCTCACGCCTCTTGCTCGCTCCCTTCGCACGCGCGCGTTCGCGATTTTTTTTTTCTCTCGGTCTATATAATATAATCTTATAACGACACGCGTATGTGTATACACCTCTGTCTTCTCCGAGACGTAACGTGCGCGCGTGTATACACATACGCATCCATACTATATATATATATATGTATATATTTATACTTTATATTTATATATATATTTCTTCTGTATATATACTTTATGTTGCTTTTTATGTATACTTTATATATAACAATGTTTTTTTATGTTTATTTAAGGCCCAATACGTTCATTATGAAGGAAATAATCTGCAACAGAAAGGAGACGAATATACGGTTAAATAACGCTTGTACCTGGTTTGCTCCCTGTCGTAAGCACCGTATGAATCTATGAATATAGAACTATTCAGTCGATTGTGTATAATGTTCCTGACGTCGTCATCATCGTTATCGTCATCGTCGTCGTCGTCGAAGAATGCGTGTATTATAATCGCAGTTCGCCGAACGCCAGTAGATGATCTACGCGTGATCGGACAAAGTGTTAATAAATTAAGTCAGCCTTGTAATTTAAGATTCCCCTCACATTTAAAGAAATATCGAGACAAAAACAACTATTCAAATAGTTTACATCTAATTCGCTAATATATATTATGTATATTTTCAATTTTGAACCTATTATATATTATAATACGTAATATAGGAATTAAAAAAAATGCGTGATAAATAAAGTGTGTCGCTGATTCCATGACTACAAGAAAAAAATAAATAAAACAAAATTAAAATTCACAGATTGTAGCAGATACTATTCTCATTTCACTAACTACTTATTTATTATACATTAACAAACTATACTTATTATTTATTATGCACTTCTTTTAATCGTGAAAGACACAATAATATCATATTTAATGCCAAAACTTAAAAATTCATTATAAACTTTATATAAACGCGTATTCTATTTAACGACAATAAAGAGAACCGCATACATTTGTTTTATTTTTAATCGCCTAAAATCTACTTCGAAAGAAGTATATACGCTTAAAATTTGTTATTATGTCTCATTTCTCGACAAAATCATCTCTCGTGTGGCGTGCAATATATTTTCAAATTTTCTTCATTTTATTAAATAGAGAAATTCTCTATAACTTGAAAATTAGATTACAAAGTTCTTCCATTTGTAATAAAAATTCTCAAAGTATCTGTCAACGATTAGCGAGGCCATGTACCAGCGTTCCAATCATCTCGATGTATTTACTTCTTCACGTGATTCTTCGCGTATTACTTTCCTAGATTTACCTTAAGCGTGTTTAGCTTGACATTTCCTAGGAAGAATCATTCGAGTGAGAATATACAACCAATTAGGTTGTCTTTCAAGAGAGGCATCATTCGATATTTTTATCTAAGACGATCCATCGTGACATACATTTAAAAGCCTACCGGACATTCAGTTTGATTAAGACTAATTTGTACGATAATATCATTTTCTATGATTGGCATAATGAATAAAGTAATTTAACATAATTTTATTATGCAAGCAAGAAATACAAAACGTTCTAAAAAGATATCACAATCGCAGAGATAAGAATGGTTTTCAATTATATTTTTTAAAAATACTCTAGATTAAATGCAAACTATCTTGTTCATTTATAAATTTTATAAAAATTAATTTTAATAAAAGAAATTAAACTTGATATATATTAATATATAAATTAAGAGAATATATTAATTAAGTTTTGCAGATAAATGCAGGAAAAACTTGATTGATAAGATAAAAAAATGTTCTATCAATATACATTTCTTTGGAACATCCTGTAACTTGTAATCCAATCATTTATTATGAAACGTCCACACTTTCATCGACATTAAAACAAACGTATCCTGCGTAGCTCTTATAGTTATGCATGCTTATAAATTATCCACAATTTTCGAATTCGGACACGTTAATACTTCGTCATTATAAACGTCAAACATCTTAAAGTACATATAGACGCATAAGTTTAACATAGTAATTAAAATTGAGGCAAAGTCTAACGTTAACAAATAAATTAGCGTATATTACGGTTAATAGGATGTTATCCGGTAGGCTGATCGGTTGAAATTCGAGCCTGGTTTAGAGCGATCGCGGATGAAAGGGATTGTGGAGAATGAATCAGATTCAGATAAAAAATTTATATTTTCGAGAAAGAATCACAAACAATACAATATAATTTAATATTCAAAAAAGGTTGATGGAATAGATTGATATAAAGTTAATAAAAAATTAATTGATTTTGTATACAATTCTTTTATTAAATTCTGATTCAACAACAATCATATTCATCCGTCATTATCATACTTTCATTTCTCATTCAGGACGTCCAATATTGTTTAAAATCTAACATTTGCAAAAAAATATTTAATCTATAGAAAATTGATGTACGATAAACTGTGAAAGTCAACTAGTTAATAAATCATATTTTATCACTTTCTGAAGAATCAAAGACTTAAGGACGTTTCAGAAGGAGAAACAGAATCAATCTGCTTTCGAATCAGATTGTTGGTAACCGTATAAGCATATTTACAAATTATTTTCTTATTTATCAGTTTAAACCCTTTTAACGGCAGCATTTATCTCATTTACGGTTTGCGGTTCATTACGCCGTAAGCAGCAATAAGTTATTTGAATTATGGTTAAACTATGACATAAATTATAATCACTTGTATTATACAAAATAATATTTATAACTGATCACGTTTTATACTTTTTTCACAATATATAACTTTACAAACATGATAAATTTAACTGAGAATTTTTTATATCTTTTGTATGAATACAATGAAATAGTAAATAAATATAATTTACCGCGATTAAAGGGTTAAACTATGTATATTACGTATTGTTTATTACGTCATATCCATTATATAGATTGAGTTAAAATATTATTAAAAAATTTATATAATCGGGAGTTTTTTTTACGTTTGTTATGTTCTAAAGATTCTTTTTCTCTTCTTTGCAATTTAAACAATAAAAAAGATCTCTTATATACAATACTAACGATGTAAGGCTCCCGAATATTCAACATGTTGATACTCGGACAAGCGATTATGTAAAAAACGATATCAAGCAACTTTTATATATGTAATGAAAAAGTATATTGATAGTTTAAAATTTTACCTTTTTTGTTGTGTGTACATAACAATGTATTAAGAATAAATATTTTACGTACTACATATCAATTTTAAAAAAATTAAAATGCTAATTTTTAACAAAAAAAAAACATTTACATTCTTTTGTATGTTTCTTATATACCTTATATATGTATAATATTAAATCATAATAAATTTAAAAAATTTCAACAAATCATAATATTATTTTATGTGTAAAATGTATTTTTAATTATTTTTTTGTATCCCTTAATCTGCAGCATAATTTTACTTAACTAAATAAATATAACATGAAAGAAATATAGAAAATAGAAACAATTTCCCTCTATATCGCGCATCTCTTTGTTGAAGTACATGATTTCCTTCTTGAAATAACATTCAGATAGTTTTTATTTATCTTCGTCATATGGGTGATTATATTATAATTTCTCAAGTACAAGCCCGCTTGTATTTTAATAAAACTTTATTTAAACTTAATTTTGATAAAATAAAAAACATATTCTTGTCAATATCACGCAAATAAAAAAATAATTTACTTGAAGTTCGGTTATCTCGAGGCGCTATATTGGTTATGTGACGACATATTACTTGTTATGTACATATAGTTTTATTTTTTAGTTTACCCTTAAGAGCATAATAATTTCATAATCTTGTAAATACGAATTCTATAAAATATGTGGCAAACTGAAACATTTATCCGATCTGTTACACAGAAGAGTAAAATAATTTCTGAAATAATGTAGCAATTTTTAACAGCTAATAAATGTACTATTTCAGGAATTATGTATTAATTCAGAAATTATTTTACATCTCTACGTGACATATCGAATAGATATTTCAGTTTGCCGTATATTTTATAAAAATTTTAGGATTACGAATTACATTTTGTTTTTAAGAGAATACTAAAATAGTATACATAGCAATTAATCTGATGCCACGAGAGAGCCAAGCTTTAAAAGCAACAAAATTTTGTCGATTACAAATTCAAATATATATAACAATTTCTATATTTGAAACATCTATAATAACGCATAAAAGGATCTGGTAAAAAATTATTTATGCACGAATATACGAATACATACATATAAACACACATATATATAGCCGTATATGTATATATATATATATATATATATAGTACCCAAACAACATTACATCCAAAATGCAGACATAAGACATTTTGAAGACGTCTTATATGTCTGCATTTTAAAAATAATGTCTGTATAGATAATAAAAAAAGAATTATTATTATATATATGTTTACACATGTTTGCATATTTATGTGTATTTATATACATTAATATGTATTTGTGCATAAATAATTTTTTACAGGGAATACATTCGTAAATCTTTATTCAGATTTTAAAACACTTGTATAGCTTTATGTACTTAAAAAACTTTCATAACAATAATTTATAACTATCAATATCAAAAAATTTTACATTTCTAATCATTAATTTTAAAATTATTAAAATTTTTATTTTGTGCGTTAAATTTATCACTTTTATGTATTTTATCAAACAAAACAACGTTAAATAATTTTAAATTATTTCAAATAAATGTCTAATTTAATTTTTCTAAAAACTATAGTTCGTATTCTCTCATTTTATATGTTGATATTTAAATGCTATCTATTTATCTAACATAAGGACCATGTTCATTGTGTAATTACGAGTTGAGAACTGTAAAACCACACTTAATGTTAAGTGTAAAATGTGATTGCGACTTCACCTTAAATTGCGGAATCCAGATAAGCATTCTGACATCGTTCCTCACTTCTCCGAGTACCTGTCCTTAATAAATCGTCTTAAAAATAGTCGTCTTAAAAGAGTTAAAAGCACGAATCTCCGATCCTCATACTCGCGAAGCTAACGTAACGTAAACGATTGCCATAATTCGCATTGCTTCTGTCCCTTTGTTCTCGATACAGGCAATGACCTCTTTTTCAATCATTTCGCGTCGACACGATCGATCGATCTGTTGACACTCATGTTACCTCGTCTTTCGTCATCGAGATCGTTCTCATCCGAGCCGGCTCGCGGATTCTTCCTAGGAAGCGTCGCCACTTCCGGTTCCCCGGGCCATGAGATCGTCGAGTATCTCTCTTCCGGGACGGTCGGACTCACCTTGACCGAGCAAGGTTCGAGACGCTATTCGCGCTCCTGTCTGCTCGGCAGCGCCGGGACGACGTTCCGCGCCGTGTCGCTCGTTCAGCTATCGACGCTGAAGAGCTCCTTGTGAAGGGCCGGGAACTCGAGGTGCGGTTGCGACCGCTTGAACTTCGCTAGCGCGTCCATGTGCAGCAGCGAGATCTCCCGTAGCTGCGGTATCTTCGCAAGAATTGCGTCACATACGGTCACATCGCCCTTAATCGGCGTCACATGGTTCCGATCTAGTTCTGACCTCAACGCTCTGATCACCGCCTGCGACAGCCTATTGATGTCTCCCAGGCACTTCAGTCCCGGTCGATCTGTGTGAGGTATCATAAATCAGTCAACTACGTTATGCTTAAATAACAGCGAAGGTAAAAATATGAGATATTTCTTTTCTCTTATTAATTTTTTTTAATCTATACATAATTCAACTTTACAGACATTTTATCAGAAAAACGCGTTTGCTATAAATCAAATATTTCTATAATTATCTGAAAATAAACAATTTTCTTTCAGTTTTAATAAAATGAATAATAAATGTTGTTAAAATAAAGTACATAATGAAATATGTATATATATTTTATACGTAATACATCATACTTACCCGCTAAACACAAACTAACAATAATATTACGTCAATATTATAATTTTCCTCTTAGTTAGCTATGTAAATGTAATAAAACAAATTTTTCTTATTTTTATATGCGAATTAGTATTTTTATATACGAATTAGAATTCTCTTTTCATAAATACTCAGAAAATCTATATTTTTCTCAAAATTGTTTATATATGCAAATTCTAAAATATTTTAAGGTTTATACTAAAAATCCGAGAAATTTTCTAAAAAGTTCTAACAGTTTTTTTATACAAATCTTAGAATATTTCAAAATTCACATATATGAAAAAAATCTAAGAAAAAATAAAGACATTCTAAGTATTTCTAAAATGTATTACAATTCATATAAAAATTCGTGTTACATATAACAATTTTATTGTTGAATAAGATATTGTAACACATTAATGTAAACCCAAGAAATAAGCTGATGTTATTTGTCATCACTTTATCGTTAAAATAACGTTGTTAAAATAACGTCTTTGATAATATTTTGACGTCATGCGGCAGCTTGTTTCTTGAAAAAATGTTACCGTTAGTTTGTATTCAGCAGGTACTGAGGCATACTTAAGCGCGAACATTGAAACATTATCATTTTAAACTTATAATAATAATAATATATGTACGCAGATATTTTTTTCATTACAATTTCAGGAATATTTATGTAGCAGATTTTGTGAAACACTATATATTCGTGCCACTCACCAGGGCTAAGTAGAACAGCCGCGCTATAGAGCGCCAACTCGGTTTCAGTGAGCTTCAGTTCGGCGATGCTTCTGGCCAGCTCGAATACGCAGGAAACAAGCTTCATTTCCGCCGTATCCGTCGTATAAAATGCCTCCTGCGGTAGCAAGGTGTCGCCGTATAGGACGCAGTTTTGCTGGAGATCGAGGTACCTGCTCATTCGTAGCACAGCCAACTCGAAGGAACCTATTACATTTCAGCAGGATATTAGCATTGATATTTCAACTACGCTATTCATTTTTACTTATGTAAATCCTTCATAAAACTGACGAACATTGTTCTCATTATTCTAACGTAACAAGAAATTATTACGTATCCAAAAGTATGATAACTTAATATTAACTTAATATATTAAGTGATCAATCTCATTGTACTATTAAGATATGTCAAATAATCATTTCTATAGATCGTCACTGTTCCTACTCAATATGTCGTTAATTTAATTAAAGTAATAAAGTTAAATAATTTAACTTGAAAAAATGTATTTAACTAAAATTTCTAAAATTAAAATTATGGTATGTGTGTGTGTGTGTGTGTGTGTGTGTGTGTATGTGTGTGTGTGTGTGTGTGTGTGTGCGTGTGCGTGTGTAAGAGAGAAATAAATGTGTAAAATTTGCAATAAATCCATCAAGCAGTTCTCTTGAAAAATTTTTCCGCAATTTCGAAAACATTTTAAGAAATAAAGTTTTAAAGACTTACAATGCTCTTTTATTTAACATTCATACTAATGTTTATTACATTATTCAAACATTAAATTTTCAAAAATGCAAAAAATAAATTTTTGATTCTTTTTATTTTAATAAGACTAATCCTTTAACACACTTAAAGAAAACTGCAATAACAAATCTTCTAAAATTTTTTAATTTTTCCAATAATAAAATAAATAAAAAATTAGATTTCTTCAGTAATTAGAAAAATTAAATAGTTAGGAAAGTAAAATCACATTAGTGACTGCGTGAAGTACGTAGGTATAATGCAGTTGCGCTTACCTGTTCCACTTAGAAATTAAAAATAGAATAATTAATCTTGAGATTAAATTTTTTAAATTTGTGATCAAATCACGCGCGCACGAGCACGCAAAAGAGCAATATTATAGTTTTATCGCTGATATAAACGGGAAATGGTGCTTATGCCAACGCAGTTACATACCGGCCTTTAATAAAACAATCTGGTCGTCCTGCGAGAGCTTCATGAATCCAGGGACCATTTTGGCAAATTCGATGATCTGCTGGATTACGGTGGTCAACTTTTGGGCGCATTCCAACCAGAGTTGTTCATGTGCCATGTTCTTATAGTAGATCATTCTGGTGATGTCGGTGGGCTTCCGGAAGGATTCCTGGATTTGGTCCGTCGATACCAGGCATGTCCTTGCGTGCGCGTCCGCTATCGTTTTCGAGAGAAGCTCGCTGATTTGTGCCGGATCTGCGAAAGTTCGGCGGATTTTCCGTTCGTAAAGTTCCTTTCATGATCGATGTATACATTTAATAAATAATAACAAAATAAAAAAGATAAGAGAGTTTATTCGGCAACCCAAGAAAATTTTTTTAATTTTAAGTACAGCAAATGTACAATTGTACGATTCATATTAATCTTTTTATTCATTATAATTATCTTTATAGAATTACTCTATAGATTGTTTTTTTTAATTATTAAAGAATTATACATTCTTGTATTTATCATATAAGAGTTTTGTTTCTTATTAAAATATATGATGTACAAGGACTTTTAAATAGAGTCATAATACAATAATGAAAAAAAAATAATTTGAACGGATTTATTGGGTGGATTATTACGTTACAAAAAGACAGATGGTTCAAAATGTGTTTGTGTGCAATAAAATTTTGTTATATTATAATACTTGTATATGATGTATATTGATTAATAATTAAAAAACTAAAAATGATATAAGCACATACAAACATACACATACAGGGTGTTCGCTAATTATGACAGCGCTCGTGTGCAGATAGAGCGGACTAAAATAATTTGCGAATCGAAAAGTTCTGTACCATTTTATAATTTTTGCAACAATTATAACGAGATATTAATTCAAATCAAAATAATAAAATTTTAGATGTATTAATATTTTAGAGATATTAATTACTAAAGATTGTTGAATAAACAGGTAAAATCGACACATAAGATATTTTTCAAAGTTCTTTATGAAATATCTTAAAAATGTTTCTTAAAGAACTCTTGAAGATAACTTAAAATTGTCTTATGCGTCGATTTTAGATATTTTTCTCATTGGATAACTTAATAAAAATTGGAAGAATTGCAAAATTAAAGAACGCTCTGTGTGTGTATATTGTATATAGATATATACATACAAACATATATACATATATAGGTGTATAATAAGATATTTAAGACAAAACCTTGTATAGTTAACGCAAAAAGATATATTTTAATATATTATATATTATGGATTAAATAACGAAATTTTTAATAAAATGAATAAAGAAGGACTACGAGAGCCAGAAACAACAGATTTGAAATGTAATTGAGATACAAATTGAAAATAATAAAAAAACAGCTGCGCTATACAAGATTTACAGACGTTTCGATTCCGATTGGGTCATTTTCAATGTTAAATATAATATTTAAAAAATAATAAATGTAATTATAATATAAAAACTGTTTTTTTTTATTTTGTTTTTAAAGAGGTATATTTACTTATATATAATACATATTTTTTCATAATAAATTAAAAAACCATCTTCAAACAAGAAATGCAGACAAAAAATAAATGCAAAAAGGATTAAATGAATTTTATGTATTGTACAATTGCGTGGAATGTAAAACTACTAAAAGCAGAAATGTATAGAATTCCATGAAAAAGTTTCTAACGTTTATAAATTATTTACGTATAACATCGTACAGAGAAGATTGAAAATGAATTGATATACAAAGATTAATAAATGCTAGATTCTACAATTTATTAGGAAATGCAATTGTGAAAGATAAAGCGTGAAGAAAAATAATATTTTATAATTAAATATAAAGTAAATTAACCACTTAAAATAACATGCGTAATGCAACATTCAACTTTTGAGGTGAAGTTTTAGAGGACCAACATTTTACCAACATTTGTAATTAAATACACTAAAACGTTTATAATAATTTTATCGCGTCAGCAAGTACATAACGTCATATCTTGTAACATAAAAGAGCAAGTAATTTCCATTTTTGAATAACTCTTTATGAATTTTTCATGAGGCTGGACTAGTTTTATGTTGATTAATGAATTTCGTTGGCAAATCACGTCAAGATTCCATATTATAACATAATAGTTTTACCTCATCATTATCTTAAATTATTTTAAGACATTACGGTATAATCCTTTCAATCATAATAATTCATTTATTGAGAAAAAAATGTGTATGTATATATTTATGAGAGTCTAGTACTATTTTATGAATTATAAATTACAAAGATGTAAAACAAAATATTATCAAAAATATAAAAATTTCGCAGGTTGTTTCATCATTATATTTGAATATCTATGTAAACTTTAACCACAATTCTTTTATTGGTATAACTTATTTAACTAATTTTTTGTTTAATATTTGTGCAAAAGTTTATTTGGTAACTCTTATTTGTTTAAAAATCATTGACTTAATTGTAGAAAAATATGATTATTTTCTACAGAACCGTTATAAATCAAATTATTTGTTTTGTCTTTTGCAGTTGATTTCGTGGCATATTCACAAGCTATATCATCCACAATTATTTGAATGATATTGACTTATTTTTGCATATAATGTATAGCAAAGATGTCTAATCTTTGACCGATATTCACATAGTCAAATCTCATATTTAAAACTGTCCTAAGTACAGTCTTAAGCTGTCATCAATCAATCAAGAGAGCCGTATAATATATTTAAAAATGGACTGAATACCGCTCTTGATCTCTTTTTAATCAATTAATCACAATATCTTAGAAAGAAATTTATCGTAATATATTTCCTGCAAACTTTTGTTGATCCTCTGGGGCTATTCTGCATGGAATCAAGCGAATGAGTCAAGGGATGAGGACATGCAAAGGGACACAAACGTAACCTCACATCTCATCGCATGGGACATACTGGGCAGACTCGGCACTTCGTCATCTTCAGATGGATTGCTGACCCTCTGCTGTTGTCCGCTAAGGAAGGTCGTCGAGTCAACCATCGTGTACGAGCCATGGCCCAGGCCGGCGAGCTCGACGGTGGTCTCCTGTTTCACGGCGACGATTCCGCCGCCGCTCAGGGAGCCGCTGCCACCGCCACCGCCTCCGCCCCCGGCAGTCCCGCCGGCGGCCGCGGTAGAACCGCTACCACCGCTACTATTACCATTACCGCTACCAGTACCGCCACCACCATTACCACCACCACCACTACCGCCGCCACCGCCTCCTCCTCCGCCACCCCCTGTGCCGTTCCCGGTCGTCGATGCGGACAGAGACTTCCCTGATGTGCCGAAAAGTCAAAGTTCACGAGGGCTTGAATTGGTCTCGAGGGTTGAATCGCGAATAGGTCTAAATATTTCAGTTCTCTGAATGAGTTCTATATAGGGCGTACTTTGCTATGGCCTAGACAAATTAGGATGTGTGCACGTATGTGTGCGTGTGTAAACGAGTATCTCTTGTTTCCCTTTTCGAAATATAGCATAAAGTATATCTTTTTTTCTTTTTATTCAAATATAAAACTGTGAAAAGTACATAAAATATACATATACTTTTCCAAAGATAACTTCTCTTATAAAAATTTAATATTTGTACTAACCAATTAATCAATTATTCTAAATATTTTAGTATTCTCTTAACAGTACTTTTTTTGATACTTTTTAAAAATAAGTAATTAATTATGTCCAGTATTAATATTAAATTTCTTTAACAATCTTGTATAAGATCTTTATATGAGAGAAAAGAATATCGTTCTCAAGGGAAAAATGTGTCAAACTTTTTCAAAAGTTAATTGTTCAGTCGAAAAATTTTGCTTATTAAGTAATCCAAGATAGTTTCAATATTAAATTCACTGTAGATTTTATTTAAGTAATCACTAAAAAATGAATTTAACTGAATACTTTTCTTCTAATAATTAATCAGACACTTTATATAAACGAACTATATATAACGGAATCGAATTGAAACTATTACCAAAGCGTCTATAAAAATCAACATAAAATGGTTCAATTAAAACTTGGAACAAGTGCGTAATAAATAAAATGATAAGTTTACTACAACAAATGTCATTAGTAGAATTTTGTGCAATGAAAAACGTGACAAAAAGTTTAAATTTTGTAATAATATTTTCCCTCAGCAAGACTAAATACATTCTATTTTGTGCAACAATCAACAATTTTAAAAATTGAAATAAATTTGTTACATTATATAAATAATCTACAATTTTAAACTTGTATTTGATACATGTAGAATTTTTTTGACTAAATCATGAAGAAAAACAAATTTAATTATTTAATTATGATCATCATTTAATCATAAATATGTATAAAACTAATTTGTAAATAATAAACATATGTTTTCAAATAGCTATTTTTTTAAATAGTTTTTATAAATTTTTTTATAAATAAAATTAGAAAAATAAGACCTTTTTTTAAACGTTGTCGTGATAATAGTCTCCTCAAAATTTCTTCTTAAAAAGAATTCTTTTTTCTGAGAATGTTTGTATATATATGTGTGTGTTTTACTCAACAGTGTATAATAAACATCATCAGCCAATTATACGATGCATCATTGATCTACTCCGCTCCTACGCAAAGTTTCACTATGTATTGAATCGAAGTCAGTCTTGATCAATCTTAGTAAAACTATATATTGCAAGCTGATTAAATCCAAGTCAACTCGAAAACGAACGCAATCAATTTTGTGGTCAGAAATACAAAACGTAATTCCTAGTACATAAGTACCACACGAATATGTTAATAAAGTATATATCTATCATAAATAAATTATATATTATAAATCAATATGTAACAAAATATTAAAAGAAAATCTATATAAAGATCAATAAAATCAGTATCAATAAAGAAAATAATTAATACAGAATAATCTTAATTTTCATTACAATATGTATATACACAGTTTAGTTCAAATTATATTTTTTATAATTTTTTATAATATGTAACTTCTTATACGATCACATACTTATAAAAAAAATCTTCGTGCAAATTATTATGGTTTATACAAATACGAATAAATTAGAAAGATTGCTTTGGTATATTTTTGTTAAATTAACGGAAATATATATAACATAAAAGTAAAAATAATATTAAAAAGTTACGTTTGAAAACTAATATTTTTTACAAATATAATAATTAAAAGATTAAGTTTAAGTAAAAACGTATATATACATCTACATATATTATGTATGAATGTAAATTATAACAATAATTACGAAGAAAACATTTGTGTCGATATTACAGAAATCATCGCGCAACAGACAACGAAGAATATTTGTGGTTTTACCTGAGAAATCATTATCGATGACAAGGACGTGAGATGGAAGGAACTCTACTGACATTAAAGACGCGAACGCAATTAACTCTGGGTTAATGACAGTGCTCCGGAAAGCATTTAGCGTGCCGGTTACGAAGCGAGAACTTAACACAGTTGCGCTTAGAAGATTACAATTCTAATTTAGTGGGTACTTATTAAAATGATCTCTTACGTAATGCTTTCGTACCAATTTTATCTTTTGCATAATCCGATTTTATTACATCGAGATAAATTTATGCTAATAAAAACATTTATGTGGAGAAATATGAAAGAATTATGTTAAATTTTACAAAAATTATCGTTGTTAATTTTATTATTTTATTGCAATTTTTATCGTTTCAAATAAAATTTTTATGTCTATCTGAAATAAATCAAAATGCAAAAGATTATACATGTCAAGAAAATGAGAATAATTCTATATTTACTGTGAACCTTTTAATGAAATTTTTTAATTAAAAATTTATAATTTATTTAAACATATTTTTGTTACTAAAAAGATTTGTTCGCACAATACAAAACATTGAATTATGCAGCGCATTTTATAACTATTGTCGCTCATTTCTTTCTCTCTTTTTCTCCACAAGTTTTTTGAATAACTTAGAATACATTTTTTCTTAATGGAAATTTGATTGGACGTTTGTTTTCTCATAACTTTTTACAACTTTTCTCATTAAATATCTTAGTAACTAAGCCCAAATTTAAGATCTTTTGAAATAAAGTTTAATTGAGAGAAACCAAGTTAAAAAAACAAATTATCGTTATTATTAAATAAAATTAAATAAAATTTTTTAATTTTTAATATATATATCTATATTTATTTCGCTATTTATTTGTAGTTGAAAAAATGACAATAATTTTGAGGAACTATTTACAAACCTATTTTGTGCTATATACAAATTTGCTTTCTCGATCTTATATTATCTCTTGGCAATAAAGATAAATTAATTTTAGATTTATTATGGAGTTCTCTCTCACTCTCTGTCTTTCTCTCTGCTTTCTATATTACATGTCTCATCAATCAATCAATGTATCACGATATGATCTCAATGATCTCGTGCTTACGTATCACGCCAGGATTAATGAGTCGATGTGTACCAGGAATTGCGAATAAAGCACTACTTACCAGTAGTGACCACACTGGGAAGTACTCCGGTTGCAGTGACGGCCGAGGGTGTGTCGGGCGCGACGGTATCTGCGACCTGCGTCTGCGTCGGTCTGGGGTCGTAGGTCGTCGTGCTGTCGACGTAGTCGGCGCTAAGCTCATAATTCGTCATCGCCTGGTGATTGTAATTCGTGTAACTGCCGGGACCTGACGATGTGTATTCGCTACCACCGTACGTGTATCTGTCGAGGACAAATGATAGGTCCACGTGAGTCGCGTTCATTCACAAAAAGCGCGAGTTACGGGGATCCTAAAGTGAATTTGCTTTACTACTAATTTTTTCAAACAAGTATTTTTTTAATTGCCTTTACAGATTTTAAAAAATCCTTCTTTATAATTAAAATCTAAACACTAACGTAATCCAAATTGGGGTGACTTTATACCAAAAACGAAAAAAGTTGGAAAATTGCAGTTTTGTTACCGATTTTTAACGTCGACTCGGAATAACGTTTGCTTTTATAAATCTTGCATACTAGTATCTATATCTAATTCTAAGTACTCTCATCAATATTATTTGTTCGTGTAATCTCTAGTCCAAACCAAGATTGTTTTATACGTATAAAGTATAAAAGTCGTATATATATATATATATATATATATT